CAGAATGCTAGGATTACAGACCTGAGCCACTGAGCCCAGCCTTGAACTTCTTTCGAAAATAATTTAATTAATGTTATGAAATTTTAGAGGCACATCTAAGATACTCTCATGACATACCAACGTGCTGCAGCACACCAGTTGAAAATCACTGATTTAGAACATTCATACTGATAAACAACTATCACTTCTAATTCCAGTACATTTTCATTATATCCAAGGGAAACATATACTCCCCATTCTCTCTCTGCCCCCCCCCCACCTTGTGGCAACAACATTCTGCTTCTGTCTCTATGAATTTATCTATTCCAGATATTTCATAGAAATGGAATCATACAATATATTATCTTTTTGTATCTGGCTTCTTTCACCACACATAATGTTTTTGAGGTCCATGCACAGTGTAGCATTTATCATTAGTATTTCATTCTCTTTTATAGATGTACAATATTTTAATGAATGAATATGCCACTTTTAAATTTTTTTTTTTTTTTGAGAGAAAGTCTCAAGCTGTTGCCCTGGGTAGAGTGCCGCGGTGTCACAGCTCACAGCAACCTCAAGCTCTTGAGCTTAAGCGATTCTCTTGCCTCAGCCTCCCAAGTAGCAGGGACTACAGGCACCTGCCACAACACCCAGCTATTTTTAAGACAATGTCTCACTCTTGCTCAGGCTAGTCTCAAACCTGTGAGCTCAGGTAATCCACCCACCTCAGCCTCCCAAGTGCTGGGATTACAGGCATGAGCCACCACGCTCGGCCTATGCCACATTTTTAAAATCTATTCATTGATTCATAGACATTTGAGTTGTTTCTACCTTTTGGTTATTATAAATAGCACTTCATCCTAGCACTCTGGGAGGCCGAGGCTGGCAGATTGCCTGAGCTCACAGGTTCGTGACCAACCTGAGCCAGAGCTTGACCTCATCTCCAAAAATAAATAGCTGGGTGTTATGGCAGGTGCTTGTAGTCCCAGCTACTTGGGAAGCTGAGGCAAGAGAATTTCTTGAGCCCAAGAGTTTGACATTACTGTGAGCTATGATACCATGCACTCTACTAAAGGTGACAAAGTGAAACTCTGACTCAAAAAAAAAAAAAAATAGCACTTCTGTTAGCAGCTCCTGTAGCTCAGTGGGTAGGGTGCTGGCCCCATATACCAAGGGTGGTGGGTTCGAGCCCAGCCCCGGCCAAACTGCAACAAAAATATAGCCAGGCATCATGGAGGGCACCTGGTAGTCCCAGCTACTCGGGAGGCTGAGGCAAGAGACTCTCCTAAGCCCAGGAGTTGGAGGTTGCTGTGAGCTGTGATGCCATGACACTCGACCAAGGGCGATAAAGTGAGACTCTTTCAAAAAAAAAAAAAAAAAAAAAAAAAAACTTCTGTGAATGTTCATCTACAAGTACTCATTTGAATACCTGTTTTTGATTATTTTGAGTATATACCTAGGAGGCAAATTGCCAGGTCACGTGGTAATTCTATGATTAACTTTTTGAGGGGCTGACAAATTGTTTTCTACAGCAGTTACATCATTTTACATTCCCACCAGCAATGTATATGGATTTCACGTCCTCCATCTTGCCAACCCTTGTTATTTTCCAGTCTTCCTACTATTTAAAATTTATT